GTCACGGACTTTTAAAAAAAAATAGTCACGGACAAAGCCGTGACTACATCCGTGACTATACTTAGTCACGGTCTGATCCGTGACTAAAATCCTCTGACAGCCCCCGATTGCATTTTCGGCGTGCCTTATTTTATTCCGGCGATGTAGTCACGGACAAATCTGTGACTACGGTCCGTGACTAAAAAAAATAATTTTCACAACGGCATTCTGTACGGATAAAAGTAGTCACGGACATGTCCGTGACTACTTCCGTCACTAAACTGAAAAAAAAATTCGCGTTCGTCCTTCGCACGTCATTTACACGGTTTGGACGCGTAATGTATACGGTTTTGCTTAGTGACGGACAAATCCGTGACTAAATTTTTTATATATGCAGGACCAACTCATTCAACAGAACCACACCAATTCATTCCCAGTACTATATAATACAGTATCTGTTTCAAATATCGAAGGATGTAGTCTATCTTATGTCATTTTCCCTGTTTATGCAGATAAGGTATGTTATTTGAATTATTATTTTTATTTAGAATTAGTTGGTTCAATTTAAATTATTAAAACTATTAAATTAGTGAGGTTATTAATTAATTAGCAACATATTTAACTAGAAACGTGGTGATGTCATAACTGTTAGGAAATTGATGTAACGTACCTCGAAAGTACAGCATCAGAAGTTTAAAATTTTTCCAAACAGATCGTCCCTGATTATGACAAAACAACGAATATAACAATAATAACAGATCTGAGATAGAACTTACAGATCTTCCAGCCTAGCGGTGATAATCCTTGACCTTAGGTATCCACATGATTTCTACTTTCCGAAAGAACGGTTAGATCTCCCTTAGAGAAAGGCTAGGAAATCTCTTCGCAAGGAAATAAACCGGTAATACTAAATCTAGAAAACTTGTTCACTGAATTATGAAGGAGGAGGATGTATTTATACTGGTTCTAAACTAGTTTCCCAATCACAATAAAAGTCTTTCTCATTAATGAGTTCTAGTCCTACCAGGACCAATTCAATACTTATCATTAATGATTTTATTAATTAAATAAGTAAAACAAAATAAATAACTAATACAAGTAAAGTGGCTGCACGTCACTTTTACTTGTTATTATTATTTATTTCATTTTCCTATTTTCTTTTAATTCTAAATTCTAAAAGAAAACATCAACTTTATTTAATTATAAATAAATCTTAATTAAGTATAATAAATCTAATTTATCACACTTAATTAATTCTATCAAATAGAACTCTCCTTCATCATTATGAATTAAATATATTAATCTAATTAATATTTAACTCATCTTATTTTCAACATTATGAATTAAATATTATTTAATCTAATTAATAATATTTAATTCCTTCTAACAATTCAATCGGAAGGTATAATCACTTGTTGTGTGACCCATAGGGCCTTATATATTAAGCACTAATCAAATTAAGGTCTTAGCAGAATTCCTAGACGATTTACCAGACAAACTTAATATATAAGGACGTTTGCGAGGACTATTCAAACTCCCTGTAATATAGAGCTCATAGTGATACGGTCCTTTCATTCAACGAACATTCAACTAAGTCTAGAACATGATATTGTGTCTATTCTAATAACTTAGTCTCTGTCTCTCAATCTTTCTAGATGATCCATAACGATCATATTCGATATCCAAAACGAATATATCTTTGCATTGGCCAATGACTTTATGATCCATCTAAATATGAGAAGTAGAATGTTCTCTCTTAATCTATTATGAGGAATGAATCCTTTCTTGGCTCAACTACTACTCCATGTGCTTCGTGATGCACCCAACACATGCCGTATCTACCCCGATTGGAGTGCAAGCGTTGGTCATGGTCAAAGTACATCACTCCGCACATGAAGTACGTATTGACCTCAAGTCGGAGGACTATTACACTACTCTATACACCGATAATCCCATAGACACATGAATAGAACTTATCAAATGGTTTCTCGGTGGGTATGCCAATATTCTCTAAAATATCTATGTGACCATCATGAATTACAGGAACTCATAGTTGTGAGATCAACTATACTTTCTAAAAGTATGATGCAGTCCACATACCAATCTTATCACATATCATCAATATCCCTTTCTTGATGATCATTGATTGGGGCTATTTTAGGACCTTATGTTATATCATACAAGCTCCCACTTACTTACTGACAACATAAGTCCAAGGTAACACAATTATGAATAAGATATTGACAATCGAAATACTTAATCATCAATGTGTAATACCGTATATATCAAATACATAAAACTAAATGTGATCAAGTACATATATCTCTAAAAAGTGATTGTCGCTAGGACATATATACTAACAATAACATTAGTTAATTTTTTAGGTTTACAAAATAATTTAATTAAAATTAGTTAAACGTAGGTTTAAACGTAGTTATGTGTTAATTAAGTTAAATTAGTTAGCTAAACGTAAGTTTAAACATAGTGATGCATTAAGTAAAATGAATTAGTTAAACGTAGGTTTTAAGTAATTAATTAAGTTAGATTCGTTAAACTTTTGATAATATTAATTAAATTTAAATATTAGTTAATTGAAATGTGTTTAAAAAAAGGTTGTTAATTAAATAACGAAATGAATTAGTTAAATTTAATTAAACGTAGGTTTAATTTAGATGTAGTGTTAAATTACTTAATTTTTTATAATATTAGTTAAATTTAAGTATTAGATAATTACTTATATTTTGTGCATTATTATTGTGAATTGTGTGCATTTCATTTAATTTAGTCAAAATTAGTTAGTTGATTATTTAGTGAAATAAATTACTTAAAATTAGTTAAACGTAGTATTATTGTTACATTATTTACCTTAGTTTTGAACCTGTATAATTTTTTATTATAATATTCAGGCATAATGTATAAACAAAATAGAAGTTGGATGTATGATAAAGATGCAGTATTGTACGGAATGCAATCAAATTTTCTCGATGGAGTCGGAGAATTTATTGAATTCGCACTTGAACATCCGGCTTATATGAGTGGTGATAAAATAAGATGTCCATGTTCAAAGTGTAAAAATCTCAAATTTAAAGAGCCACACGAAGTTGGGTATGATTTGTACGCGGTCGGTTTTGTACCCAATTATTATAATTGGACTTCTCACGGCGAACCTTTGGATCCATCTGTTATACCACAAACGGTAGGTTCAATTCGTCTCGTTACGTCCCTCTAGAGATGAGTGGGTGGGGAGACCGTGCCGAAATGAGGTGGGAACAAGAAATGGTATATGACACATACGGTGTACCGATGTCTCAGTTCAACCCCCCACAACCATCTAACGACCCCCCTGAAGCCTCGACCTCGTATCAACCAGATGCGGATGAAAATCCGTCATTTTATCAACCTTATGTGGATGAAGGTTTGGCTGAGAGATTTCAGGATGTTCTAAAAGCTGCCGACCAACTTCTGTATGTTGATTGTGAGGGATTACACTCAGCTATCCGCCGTTACAGAGTTTATGAACATAAAAGCCGAATACAGTCTCCCTGAAACTTGCATGAATAGAGTCTTGCAGTCAGTAGGAGGGATGCTACCGCGTGATCATACCCTTCCTGATTCATATTACCGCATGAAGCAGTTAATGTCTAAGTTGGGGCTACCTTGTGTCGAAATTGATGCGTGCCCGGAAGGATGTATGTTGTTCTGGAAGGAGGATGAGGCACTTGAGTTCTGCAAGTTCTGTGGTGGAGACATATACAAATCTGTTCCTCAAAGTAAAAAGAAACCACGACATAGGTTGGCACTGTCTAAACTGTATTACCTCCCAATAGCTCCTCGACTGCAGAGGATGTACGCTTCGACTGCTACTGCGAAACACATGACATGGCATGTTGAGCACGAAACCAATGAGGGTATGATGGCTCACCCTTCGGACTGTGAAGCCTGGAGACACTTTAACCGTTGTCATCCTCAGTTTGCCGTGGAGCCACAAAATGTGCGGCTGGGATTGTGCTCAGACGGATTTGCTCCTTTTGGAAGGTTTGGGAAGAACTATTCATGTTGGCCGGTCATGTTAACTCCTTACAATCTCCCTCCTGACATGTGCTGATGTGCATGAAAAGTCATTTCATCTTTTTGTCTTTAATTTGTCCGGGTTCCAAGGATCATGGGCGAAAGATAGACATTTATCTCCAACCCCTTATCGAGGAGATGAAAGAACTGTGGGCCGTTGGGACACCAACGGCCCACAGTTGGACCATTAGCGACTTCCCTGCATGTGACACTTCAAAATTTTTAAGTAAAATAAAATAATTAATTATAAATAAAACGTTACAAAAGTGATGTTTTAATAAATAAGTGAATCACACAAAATTTTAACATTCTTTTTATTTTTTTTCAATAATAGAAGTAACACTTTTATGATAATTATGAAACGACATTTTTGGAATAAGGGGTGATTATTAAAAGTAAAATTTATATTATAACCTTTTTAATTTAAAGGTACTAATGAATAAAATACTCATTCAATAATACGAGTACACAAAAATAAAGATGATTAATAGTTGACTTATCAACTTAAAACACATGAACTACTACGTAAATAAAGTCGGGCGGCAAACTCGTACATACACGAACAATAAACCCAACTACAGTATATACGAATGACCTAAAAACTAAAATACAGGGCTACTTATATGACTCTAAGTCGATGTACTTGGCCGCAAGGCCCGCAAATACGGTTAAGATGCACCTACACGCATATACCTACGTATTTAACTAAAACCATAATAATTAACATATGCGTACACTTATTATTACGAAGCATTAATAAAACTAGAAGCTGCTGCAAAACCTACGCACACACAAGTTATATTTGATCCTGCAACCTACGGATAAAACATACGGTTGAACGCACTGCGTATCTTACGCTAAACTAATCGGATACTCTCAAGCGCTAGAATACTCTGAGGGCTATATAAATAGCAGCCCTAACCTGCGTTTCATTCACACCAAAAAAACGACGAGTTCAGTCGCATATACACGCACATATATACACCGTTTCGACCCAGCGAGATACCAAACCAAGGCCTTGAAAACACTTCTAAACACTTTCTCTTCGTGAGAGGAAGCCAGAGGATCATTGAAAACGATCGTGAAGCAAATAAGAAAACGCTCGCCGGAGTTCGCCGGGCTAAGCTTCATGACGGGAATCGGAGGAGGGAGAGCCGCCGTCGCCTGTTAGCCACTGTCGACCATCTTCGTCGCCTAACACCGCCACTGTCCCATTTGTCCGTCGTCAACAAGGTAATTCGATTACACACCTGCGTTTTCTTAGTTTCCGGCGTGATCATACGAAGAAGACGACGAATTTATGTGCGAACTCATTAGTTTGACTTAATTAATATGGACCGAATTGGTTAAATAAAAATTGGGCTAAAATCTTACGGAGTATGATAATACGGAATAATAATTAATAGTAATACGAAGCAGTACTGGGTGATTCTTGAGTAATAATAATAATAATAATAATAATAATAATAATAATAATAATAATAATAATAATAATAATAATAATAATAATAATAATAATAATAATAATAATAATAGTAACCTGGATTGATCGTAATTAATGATTTTGGATTAATCTGGATGTTGTTGTTAAAATAAATAATAATGATAAAAATATTAATGGTCTACTTAGAATTGAATGACTATTACCGAATGGACTAACTGAGATTTAAAATGAAAATAGGAATGTTTTAGTTAAACCGGATTGATTAAATTTCAATTGAATGATAATAATACTGAATTAATGTAAATGGATAGACCGATCAGTGCAAAGATAAAATAGCTTTTCATTACAGAAGATTATACCTGACTTATTAGGACGTACAATAATATTGGTTTGTTGAATTTGAAATTTGGAGTTGATGTGAATTGATCGGACGACTCTGGACTATTAAACTTCACCGATTAAATTACTATAAAATGGATTTTTGGATCATAATAAAATTTACAGACCCCTAGTATAAAATTCGAATAGATGATCGTTAGTCATAAAATTAAAGTGGACTCAATTTACATCTAATATAATATAATACTGAATCGATTGCTAATTCGGCTTATAATTAGAAATAAAATTATTAAATTAATTAATTATATAGACTCGAGTATTTTAGGATAACGAATAAATGAGTTATTGTGAACTTTTAGGATAAAATAGAAAAGTATAATCATTAACGGAAAGGGTAGAACAATTATACTTTAAGTTAGAGCAAATATTGACCTTGGGAATTCTAATTAATAGAAGGTGAACTTGGAGAGGAAGACGTTAGAGAAGCTTGTTAGGAATCTCTGGAATTTGAGATAAGTCACATTGCAACCAAAATGCATTTTTACCTCGTATATATTGTATGTATGAAATATGAAATTTGTATTATTTGACTATTTGTTGAGCAATTTGTGAATATGTGATGCATTGTTGAATGTTAATAACTTTGGGAAAATTACGTGAGTAGTAATCCCTGAATTTTTGGAAAATAATAAAGATAAAATGAACCTTTCAATGTAAGGGCATCACGGGAGAAATCCGGGATGTCGGTGTCCTCCACGACCTTGACTGTGGAGAGTGATTAGGACTGCTATTACTTGTTGGGATTTGGTGTCCACGACCTTGACTGTGGAGATTGGTTAAAGTGGTTGTTTTATTGTAATTCAAATTCGGGCAAAAGACCCTGTTATTCTGTAGTAGCAGTAACCTAGTCACTTATATAGGGTAATCCCTTTTTGGTGGAGTAGGGGGACGTTGACGTCCGAACTACTTGGACTTCTTACTACTCGGAGGGCTTGGAATCCCTTTTAGAGGGTGTGCACACTTAAGGTAGAGGTTCAGTTTCCCCAGGTTAGAAGTGGTACCGGCAAAAGTCCCGGGGTGGCCGTACATAACAACGGACCATCGGGCTCAATAAAATGTTGAGCACCGCCCTTCAAATGTATTAGGAGTTTAATACAATTATATTTTAAGACATTACTAGAGTACCTATTGAAGAAAATATTTTATTTTATGAAAGTGAGGAGCATCCATTTTTGAAAGAAGTATACCATGAAATTTATCTCTTGAACTATTTTTTTTATATATGGTATACAAAATATTATTTTCACCAAACCTATTATTTTACGGGGTTGGGTGGGACTTACTTAGCTCTAAAGCTAATTTTTGTGTTATTTGTTTCTTTTATTTCCTTATGTTACAGATGATGTGGTTTATGAAGATTGATGCCTTGAGAGCGCTCCTAGAAGACTTTTAGAGTAGTCACATCTAGAATAAACATTGTTAGATTTCATTATTTCAAATGTTGAATTGAATATTTCTTTAGATACATTTTTGGTGGATAGCCTTAGCACCCAGTCGGTTTAGGGCTGGGTGTGGCGGTAACACGCCCCTTTTCCTTGCTATTGTTTAATTCCGCTGCAAACAATTGAAAGTTTTGAATAATTAATAAAATTTATTATTTCTTTAAGTATTATTTTGGGAGGGAAATTTGGGGGTGTTACACTGCATATGGCATGCTTTCGGGATGGAGCACACACCGTCTCATGGGATGTCCGATATGCATCGATAAATCAGGTGCCAACTGGCTCAGTTACAGTAAAAAAGGAAGTTACTTTGATTGTCACCGCAAGTTTCTCCCGGAAAGGCACAGATATCGAAAGAACAAGAAGTCTTTCATTAGAGGCAGAGTGGTACGAGGGAGCCCACCCCCGAGATTGACCGGCGAAGAAATTTTTAACCGGGTTCGACGTATTCCTACGGCTATGGAAGAGCCAAATCAGGAGCCATATGAGTATTCTGTTACCCATAAGTGGACAAAGAGGAGCATATTCTGGGAGTTGTCATATTGGAAAGACCTTCTAATTCGTCACAATTTAGATGTCATGCACACTGAGAAGAACGTGTTTGACAATATATTTAACACGGTGATGGATTTCAAAGGCAAAACTAAAGACGGTCTTGCAGCTAGGAAAGATATGACTATTTGGTGTGATAGACCCGAACTTTCTGTTGATCTAGAATATCAGGGCAAGGAAGTTCCAAAAGCAGTCTACCAGGTCACAGAAGCACAAAAGGCAGCAATATTACAATGGCTTGTGTCTCTGAAGTTTCCAGATGGCTACTGCTCCAACTTGTCTAGATGCGTGGACATGAACAAACTTACCACGACAGCGAGCATGAAAACTCACGATGCTCATGTAATCATGCAAAGACTTCTACCAATTGCACTGAAAGAGATGCTCCCTGAACACATATGGTCCTGCATTACTGAAATCAGTTTGTTGTTTCAGTCGATATGTTCCAGCGTTTTGGATGCGGCATCCCTCCGGAGACTAGAAGAATCTGTTCCCATTCTGATGTGCAATCTGGAAAAGATAATGCCTCCATCGTTTTTCGATGCAATGGAACATCTTATAATACATCTTCCGTATGAGGCTTTGACTGCTAGGCCCGTCTTCTATCGCTGGATGTACAGATTTGAAAGGTTAGTCACAATTTCATTTAAAAAATGAATACTTATTTCATACAAACTGTAATCTGTGTACCACTTTTATTTTACATTGCAGATTTCTAGGAGAGTTGAAAAAGAAAGTGACCAACAAGGCACACGTTCAGGCTTCAATTTGTCAAGCGTATCTTCAACAAGAAATCTCAACGTTCTCGTCCTTTTATTTCGAGCGTGACGTCATCACCAGAAGGAAGAGACCTGCCCGGAACGATGACATTGGCGAGGATTTATATGAAAATGTAGTTTCCATCTTCAATTACTCAGGCAGAGGTAAAGGAGCTGCGACACACCGATACGTCCTGGGTGGGGAATTACACATTGCGCATACTTATATCCTCATGAATTGTCCAGAAATCTTACCGTTTTATCAGTAAGTTAAATTTGTAGTTACAATTGTAATACTTATAAATTAAATTTGTAGTTAATTTATAATATTTTTATTTTTGACTTCACAGTGAATTCAGAGCTTCTTTATCAACCTTTCCTGAGAATGAAATTGATGCAATGGTGGACTCTGATTTTGTAAATTGGTTCAAGTATCAGGTATATATATACACACATTAATCATATATATTATTACGTAATAATTATTAATTATTATCATGTTATATTTTACAGATCAATAGCTGTGGGATTGTCGACCCTGTGTTATTAGCATTATCGTGGGGCCCAAGTGCCAGTGCCAAAGTGTGACGGTCATATGTGATAAACGGTTACACATATCACACAGACGCTTACGGACAAGGTCGACCAACAACGAACAACGGGTTATGTGTCCCGACCATCGGTTATGATAACTCAGAAACCAATTTTTTTGGTGTGCTGCATGAGATTCTGGAACTTGAAATGCCTTGTGGTGCGAAAAAATTGACATGCGTTCTGTTCCGCTGCAAATTGGTCGATCCCACACGTGGTGTGAGAAAAAATTTGAAGTATAATATGATTGACGTCAACCACTCTCGTGTGTATGAGAAAAACGAGCCTTTCATACTCGCCCAACAAGCAGCGCAGATTTATTATGCAGAATATCCTTCGATAAGGCGGACACGGAATCCTTGGGTGTGTGCATGTACTGTCCGTCCGAACAAAATTATATCACAAACTCAACACAAGGACGTTGATCTAGATGCTTTTCAGCAACAATTTTTCCAACCTCCGCCTATTGTTGAGACGGTCAACTATAACATCCAATTAAGTGATCCAATTGGCGGACGTGTTGAAGTCATGCCAGAAACACACCTTCCGGACCTAACCATTCCATCTGAGCGCGAAATTGTTGAAATGTATGAAGCACAACAAAACGCTCAATATCAGCAAGAAGGTGAATGGATAGACGGTTCAGATACAAAAGAAGATACTGTATATGTAGAAAATGAAGATTCTGAGAGCGACTAATTATGCTGTTGTAATTTCAATTTTGTGAATTAATTACTTCAAGCATATTTGATATTTTCCTTCATCATTATTGTTTGTGAAATAAATACTCCTTAATCTGTTCTATACCAAATAAATTGAAAGCAGTTTATTTAATACTCCACAGTCCACACTACAAATTTAACTGTTTCCACAATATTCCATATTATAAATTCGAAAATTGAAAAATAATTTAAATACTTCGAAAATACAAAATTAAAAAAAAAACAGAAATTCATAAATAAAACTAATTTACTTTTCATAATCTGAATATTGTAATAATTTGACATTTTAATAAATAACTTACACGAATTTGGTTCTGTATTAGTCATTTTTTGCACAAACTAATTTACTTTTCATAATCTGAATATTGTAATAATTTGACATTTTAATAAACAACTTACACGAATTTGGTTCTGTATTAATCATTTTTTTGCACAAAATGTTGGGTCGCAGAACATCTATTTTTAAATTAAAAAGTCACGGTCATAGTCACGGTCAGTGCCGTGACTAAACCCTTCGTAAATGCCGAAGTCAGGCCTGACAGTCAGAGCCGCCGCTGACCAGCATAGTCACGGTCTGGTCCGTGACTTTGACCGTGACTATTTTCAAATTTTGAAAATAGTAATCAAATATATTCGATTAATAATAATGATAATATTAATAATAATAATATTAATAGTAATAACACTATAATAACTTTTAAAAGATAGCAATACTCTAAAGTGTAGTTCATATAAACATTTACGCATACAAATTCTAAGTCCATTTGTAATAAATCAGAGTATAAATACGAATACAAATTGGAGTTTTGGTTCAAATGTCTTTCAAATACAATACAAATAATTATGTATTCGATTCGCAGAATAAAATTAGAGTCGTCTGACTTTGATATATACAATTATCAACTTATTTCACACATTATAAGTGTAATTTCTAATATGTATATGTTAGTGTTTATTTCAAAAAGTTTGAAATAGATTTATATTTATTAATCATATAATTGATTCACTTTAGTATATCGTGCACAATCTAAAAATGCATTGATCCATTGAATTTAAATTCTAAAAACACATATCAAATCATAACGTACATTTACAACATAAAAAAATATAAGAAAATTTAATTTTAAGTGATATTTGACTAATATTTAGCCTATGTTCAAATCTATTCGATATTCGTATAAGATTCGTTAACTATTCGTATCGTTAAACAAATACAAATACAAATTGAAATGTTTCATATTTGAATTTGAATTCGTATTCCCAGTTCATCTGTTTCACGAACTTCTTAATTCAGGCCTACTTCTTAATTCAGGCCTTCTCAGTTCGTATACTGCGTTGCAAACAGAAGTCTCAAATTCACAGATGCGAAACAGTTTTCTGAGTCCACAGTCATCAGCTTCCAATTCGCAGGGGTCTTCACAAGCAATATCACCTAATTCATCAGCTTCTTTGCAAGCAGTTTCTCTGAGTTTGCAAGACTCACAGCAGGTTTCTTCGCATATTTCCGCTTCTCACAGTCCACAAGTGGAGTCAGTTTCATTCCCACAGCTGTATGTGAGTCAGCTACAACCTAACTCTGAAGATACACTCAGCAATGGCGATGAGGAACGAGGGATGAAGAAATCGCCTGTGGTGAATCAAGTCTCTGATGATGAAATTGCTGGTGCAAATACTGCGGAAGGGTCAAATACAGCTAATTTTACAGACTCTGTTCAGCAAGAAATCCTTAATGTCACTGGACAAATAGATGAATCTCAAGCTACATCTTCCACTGCTTCTATACAAGAAATTAAGGGCAGAATGACAGATGTGACATTCACCAATGTCCTAGAAAATGAATTAAAATCAGACATGATAAAGATGGTTACCAAAATGCACCAGTCAGTAAATGGTATTGCCATATCTCAGAAAGAGGAACCGTTAGGGAACACTGTGAGAACCACTTCTCTGGATTTTGGTGCCTGGACTACCTGTATAAAGGAAATTGAGAAAGTAGATGAGGGAAACATTCTGAAGAAATATGCTGATCACGAGGCATGTATTGGTTCTGGGGATAAAGTTGTGGAGGTTCTGGGAACTCCATATCAACAGTTAGATCGCTACTTTGAAGATTCCAAGGTGTTGGTTGACAGGAGGCCACTATCACAATGGCAAACTGATGAAGAAAAGGAATCTGCTGTTGTTTATGCTAGCTCGGGAACTACCCTTGATGCCAGAATGGTTGCTGAAAATGCTAGGGGAATAACACCAGTTTATATTCTTTTGCTAAATGGAGGTGTAGGTTTTGATAACATGGTTCACATACTGACTAATAGAAGAGGGATGGAGAAAGGTGTTGCTTATACTGACAATCAGGACCAAGTTATTGTGGTTGAAGGTGTAGTATTATTTTGGGATGCTTTCGCTAGGCAATTGGGGAAGAATGACTTAAAGAGGAGTGCAATTGAAGAATCAGTCTTCATTCGCTTAAATGTCAAATCTGGGACGACAGTTAAGGGTTTCAGTTTGATACTATCTGCAATGTGGGACTCCTCTAATGCTAAACTGAGATGGACTGATGAATTGGGTCTCAAATACCATTTGGGTAGAATCAGAGTGGACTTGGACCCTAATATTCAGGCTGCTGTTAACGGACTGGAAGCTGAAGCAAAATGTCAACCTTACAAAATGGTCTTATGCTCCAATGATCTAGAAGAGAACTTTTCCAGTGGTGTTCTTTTAATGAAAACCAAGCCAGGGGAAGATGTTGGAATTATGGAAGTGGAACCTTACTTGCTGGGAAGAATCGTTATGGCTTCTTTCTCTATACTTGGGTTAATTAAGTTGGATGCAGAACCAGTCAGGGAAGCAAAGAGGTTTCAGGAATTCTCCTCTAATAGTCTGTTTGGAAAACTGTTTACACGCGCATCAGACCCGAGGGAAAAAGGAGCTGAGCTTTCACTAGCACCGGATATAGTAAAAGGTGATGATAATGATGAGCTTCATGGATTCTACAACCTTGGAGTTATGTATCTGAATGTGCTTGAGGATATCTTTGCTGGGCCCAAAGGTATAGTCAAGGAGGTTTTTCAACCCACAATTCTGGAAGTCCTAAAGAGATCTACTGATAGAACAGTTGAAGTATGGATGGGTGTCCTTGTAAAGGTTAAAGCTGGTTTGCTCTGTGATTCCTTCAGTGATGAAACTCCTCAGATTCTTTCTATTTTACAGAAGATACTGCGGAATTATGATGAAGATCTGGGTAATCAAGTTGTTGCGGTTCTCTATGATGTGGCAGCTGAAATTACTACCAGGGCAGCTGGGTTTTATCTTGCAGAACCTTTATATGATGATATTGGTTACAAAGAAGAGGCTTCAAGTGTAATTCCAGGGAGTTCGTATATGCAGTTTCTGCTCCTGTTTGCTTTGAAAGATGTGAAGATGAAAGGTCAAGCAATGAAGGTCATGGGCAAGCAAGCTGGGAGGTATTGGGAAGGGAGAGGTGCAAGAATCAAGTGCAAGCGGAAGATCATGGCTGACTCCTGACTCCTATCATCCACTTTGAGGGCAAGGTGGTTGTTTAGGGGGGGAGTAATGTTAGGCATCAGCCTAATCAGTAGTTTTAAATAAGGGGGTTAGGGGAGTTAAATAGCTTATTAAGTGTCTATAGCTTATTTAGTTGTCTATTTAGTCCCTGTGTGGACTTTTGCTATAAATAGAAGCTGGGGTAGCCATAATAGGAAACTGTTATTTTGATTTGTGTGTTGCCTTGTTGCCTAAGAATTCCCGGTTGCCTTTGTTGCCTACGGATAACCCTTTCTATCAATAAACGTCATTTCTCATCTCTGTTCATCAGATCTGTGTGTCTTTGTATTACTTTTGGGACTGGATTATTACCAGGTTCCTAACACAGATCACTTGGTACATGCAACTTCTTTTACTTTTTTGTTTTTTCCTTCGAAAGCTGATAAGGGTATCGTCTTCATGTGTTTCAATATTAATGGTTTACTTTCCAAAATTCCTGCTGCAGGTTCTTTTTTAACGCAATGTGACTGTTTCGGCTTTAATATTGAAGTAACACTTCTACCGAAGAGAGTTTTATCATTTGTGGAGTGACTTCCATTGAAACCAATTTTGATTAGGGAAAATGGAAACTAATAATCCAACCTTTTAGCGGTCTTCTTACAATAATCCAACCTTTTGGTTATTCATGAATAATCCAACCTTTGCACCTCATCTTCATTCACTGGTCCCTGACCGGTTGATGACCTGCTATTCCAAGCTATTTTCTTATCTTTGCAAATCATTATACCATAAATCTCATCTTTCACAAAGATAATATTTTGCAAAGATAAGAAAATAACTTGGAATAGTAGGTCATTCACCGACCAGGGACCAATGAATGAAGATGAGGTGCAAAGGTTGGATTATTCATGAATAATCAAAAGGTGGGATTATTGAAAGAAGACCGCTAAAAAGTTGGATTATTAGTTTCCATTTTCCCTTTTGATTAAAACATTTTTGCTTCACTCTGTTTTTTTATTTATCGTGCTATATCTTGAGAGTTGAGACAGTTGTTAAGGTTTTTGGAATGACTAAGAAGCCTTCGCCTCTTAATCCTGAAACCCCAAACAATGCAGAGCTTATTACTACGTAGTAGTTCTTAGACCATTTGTAGTGGTGGGGAGGCTAAATTGTTAAATTTAGACTCCGTCCATATGAAAACAGTGTTTAGACTCCGTCAATACTGTTTTTTCCCGCATCCGTGCACCGTCAATAAAATACACTCTACATATTTTTTTACCTACCAATTTAGTAAAACCTTAATTTAATTATTATAAAAAGTATTTTCCTTTTAATATTTTACCTAGATAATTATGAAGTAAAAGATACGCATTTCGATGTAAAAAAAATCACTAACTTTTTTAAACGATTTTTTGGTTAACAAAAAAGAACTTAGTTAAAATAAAATTCGATTATGGAATATTCACTTATTATTTGTGAAGGCTTAATGAATTAAAAATTCGTGTTTCGTGCTTTTTTGGGTTCACCAAAACTTCAACAGTTAAAATTATTTTTTTTTTCGTTGTATGTATTACATATTGGTGTCATATGAAAGATCATAAAAAATCATGAATTTTGATATATTTTTTGAAGAATTTGGAGAAAAAATAAAAAAGTTATAAGAGTTTAAAATAAAATGGGATTTTAATGACGTAAGCGTGACATCAGCATGACGTCAGCAGAACGCATCAACAGCGCAGCAGCGGCCGCTTTTTTTTTTTTTTTTTTTTTCCTTTTCTTTTCCCCTGTCAACCCAACCCTCTATTTTTAGCCTCCTCCACTCCCCTTCCCACTTTTACTCCCACTTTTAATCTCCCACTACACTCAATTAAGAGTCTAAAAATTCCATATTTAATTTTTTGACTCCTAATCTGTAACCACTACAAATGGTCTTAGTGATTGAAGTGTAGTTCTTTTGTTTTCATTTTCTTATTTATTTCCAAAATGTTTTTGATTCATATTATAGGAGGTGGTTATGCTGTTAGTATTTAATAGTAGTAGACGTTTAAGGGATTGAAATTTTGGGCACATGATACTATGATAGAATCCTGGACAATTATTTTAGAGTAAGAAAGTTTATTCTTAAATGGACCATCCTTTATTTGTTATTCTTTTCCTGGTGTTCTCTAGATTGGGTTCCTATATCTGATAGTGTTTTCCATTTTCTTCATTCTTTCCAGGTTTAGAGTTTTAAATATTTGCAGGGTGATGAGGAGGAGTTTGGTGCTTCAGGGTAAAAATAAATCACTCAGAGGATGAGAGGAATACTAAGATGCAGCAGATTTGATTGATGAGGAGGATATCATATTTATAGGCAATAAAGTTTTGTTTTTGTTTCCATTTATTAACTAGGTGTATTAAGTCATCATCTCCATGAGACTTTTTTCTGCTTAATATTTTTGTGATCGTTTGATATGAAGTAGAATCTGGACTTGGAAGAAGAGGGGAAGAAGCCCCGTGGCTTTACTGAAGGCGGGACGGGCTTGAGCCCACCTTTGTGGGCTGGTTGCGTGCTGTTTAATTAATATTTATTCTTTTTATTAGGATTTCTAATATGTGTTTCCTATTAGGAGTTAATTAGGATTTCTATTATTTCTTTCCTATTTGAAGTTGATTAGGATCTTTATTATTTTGTTTTCCTTGTTGGAGTTGATTAGGATCTCTAGGATTTTGTTTCCTAGTTTAAGAGTTAGTAGATGGGTATTTAAACCCCTTGTTAGGATTCATTCTGGCTCATCGGGGGATAAAATTGGTTTTAGCCTTTTGGCTCGTTATTGGGCAACGGTTTACCCCGTTGATTTTATTTTTCTGTTCACAATATCGTTTTAGATAAAAATAATAGAATTAGTATATACTCCTTGAATATTCTAATTACTTTACCTTGTACTAATTTGTAAAGCTTTTAAGCATAGATAGAAGAATAATCATTTAAATGATTCTGCTAGGGCCTACTACTACAAGTGCTGCAATTTTCATCCCTTTGACACAATCAAAATTGGTAGCTCTTGCATTTGTTCTAAATGAGGTCATTTACAATTTTATGCGCATAGGTTAGTATGAGCATCTTCAAAACATAGGGTGAGGGCAGAGCTTTAAATAAAAAGTTCCCCATGTATTGCTTAAATTTTCCCACAACATGTACTACGATGAATAAGTTTTAATTATAAAACATGAAAGATATACAAGCTATATGCTATATGCAACTCACTCAGAATGCAACTTTTATTTATAAAAAAAAAACTTAGCAACATTTTCATTAAGCTAGTCTTTCACCTATGTGTTGCACGGGATAACAAAGTAACTATATAATCATTAAAAAATTATTGAAATTCGCTAGTTTAACCATTAATCTTGAATCTTTTCCCTTGAATCGTACCTTGTTGACAAATTAACATAACATTCCGTAGAAAGGGACATAGCATCAAGTTAGGCAAGCTTCTCCAACTGAGTACATATACTCTAATGCTTCTTCACCGTTGTTACATATATCAATCTTAATTGTAAAATTTCAGTCTTCACTCTAATGCTTCTTCATCATTGTTACATATATCAATCTTAAATGGTAATATTTCAGTCTTTTCATTCTGTTCGAGGGTTTTTCCCTCTCATTGTTCTATGAGCTTAGCTATATCCTTATCTGTAATTGTAGTTTGTATAAATAGAAGCCACATGAGCCCCAAATAAACATCATTGTCTCAAAAATTCTCATTCTTGTATATAGTTGTTGAAGTTTTTGTTTACTATTACTTCTCACTTGTATCTTGAAAAACTACACTAATAATCGACTAAAGATATAGTTCAACAGATCACCATAAAACAGCCAAACAGCACATCTTTGCGGGACGGAGGGAGTATAAGTGAACTATTTTTCCAACTATACGTCATGCTAAATAATTAGCAATTATAACTGGCACACAATTTGTACTCTATAAAGCTTAAGTTCCACATTTCATACACGGGATGTCTCAAACTAATGTTCCTACTTGAACTCCTTTATATATTTAGTAAGACTTTATTGTTCATTTACTTTTTTTTAATTACCCTCGCACGCCATTATTGAATTGATTTATATTATCCTACCTAAAAACCCGTGAAATCAAATTTTGAAACTTAATTTTGAGACAGGGAATATCTTATTAGCTATTTCTTTAAATGGTACACAATATTTTCTATAATTTGTGGAGGTTAAACACTCATAATAGTCTCATGTAGTTATAGGCAGTGGCGTAGCCAGGAGTTAGAGTTGGGCTGAGCCGATACAAAGAATTTTTACAGATTAATTTTTACACATAAATTTTTACATTAAAAATATAAGCAATTTTAAAATTTGGACTGGGCGAGGCCCGGTCGGCCCCCGCCTCCTCCGGCCCTGGTTATAGACTTATAGGTTCAATTAATACAAGTATATAAAAAAATCATATCGATTCTATTAATTAACTAAAACATTATAAAATCCACTAAGACTATCAAATAACTTAACTAAGATAAATTTCATTTATAGTTTATGATTTTAGTGAAAGATAATTGAGAGAAATGAAGAGATTTCTGACTCTGATCTCCTAAAAATATTTTGTCTAATTGTTGTTATAAGATAACCTCAATTTCTTTTTAAGTACTTTGTTGGATGAATAAATAAAAGACCGCTCCATCAGATATTTAGATCTGTGTGACTGAAATGGCACATATATAATCATTACAGACATTTGTCAATATAAAATTCACAAAAAACATAAAAGACTCATCTTTATCAAACGGTCTGCTAAGTGGAGGGGGCAAATGTAATGTAACTAAATCGATACACAAAACGTAGATTACTTTTTCCTATTTTGTGTTATGAAATACTTAAGTGGATTTAATCAAGTACAGAACTATACATAGATGTTGGGATTGGAAAATTCTTCTATTCAATATCAAGAACAGAATTACAATAGGAGGAGCAAACTCTCACACTCAACTATTACAAAAAACCAATCCTCACCAATACACTTCTACTCTAAGTGTATTTCACTCTTCACACACTTTTCTCACTTTCTAAACTGATACTATGAACAACAATAGAACACTCTATTTATAGGCTACTTTGGAGACAAGAGGAAGTTGCATCCATGCTTCCATAGTTATCTCCATATCTTCTCCCATCTTTATTTGTTGGAGACCTCCTTCCAAGAAGGTGTGAGATGCCTCTTGGCAACTTCCAAGAAAGAAGGTGGAAGAATCCTACAAATCTCCCCCTCCACCTTTTTCTTTATTTCTCTCGTTCCTGCGATGCTCGTTGGCTCCCCCTCGCTAACAAGTATCCATTCGGATGTGGAATACTTTCTCTGTGGAACTATGCCTCGCATAGAACGTCGAACATGAATACCTTCAGCTTCGTCTTCAGATGAAGGCTCCCCCTGCTGAGGAATATCATCACTGTGAGTATCATCATCACCTACTGAACCATCACTCTCTTGTTCAGTAGTATCATGCATCTCCTCGTCGCTGAGAGGAATGTTTGATGATACAGGCACTTCGTCTTCTGGAGTATGTTGTTGGCGGATTATTGGAACACACCCATGAAACTCGTTTTCATGAAATACAACATCTCTGCTTCGTACAACTTTCTTCACTTCGGGATCCCACAACCGGTATCCGAATTCTTCATCACCATACCCGATGAAGATGCATGGGTTTGACTTGAGATCCAGCTTCTGTCTCAACTCCTTGGACACATGTGCAAATGCCTTGCACCCGAACACTTTTAAGTGAGAGTAAGAAACATCTCTTCTTGACCATTTCTTCTCTGGCACTTCAAAGTTTAAAGGAACAGAAGGTGACCTGTTTATAAGATAACAAGCTGTCAGCAAAGCTTCACCCCAGAATGGCTTAGGTAGTTTAGCCATACTCAGCATGCAGCGAACTTTCTCCATAATGGTCCGATTCATTCTTTCGGCTACACCATTGTGCTGTGGAGTTCGTGGAACCGTCTTCTCATGTCTGATTCCATATGCCGCGCAATATGCTGAGAACTCCCGAGAAGTGTACTCTCCTCCATTGTCTGAACGCAGGCACTTCAGCTTCTTCCCTGTTTCTCTTTCTACCATGGCATGAAATAATTTGAAGCGATCAAACACTTGATCCTTACTCTTCAAACAATAAGCCCATACCTTTCGTGATGCATCATCAATGAATGTCACGAAATATCTGCTTCCTCCAAGTGACTCCTCTTCAATGGGTCCGCATACATCAGAGTGTATAAGACTGAGTAACTCTGAATGGTTCTTCCTGGTAGAACTGAAGGAAACCTTATGTTGTTTCCCGAATAGACAGTGCTCGCATGGATCTAGGGCAACACCTTTGCCCATGGAAATGACTTCCTTCTTTGCAAGAGTTGTCAATCCCTTCACGCTCAAGTGGCCTAGCCTTCGGTGCCACAAGGTTGGTGATATCTCTTCTTCAACAGCATTAAGACTTGGATGACACAACTTTGCATGAGTTTTATAAAGAGTACCACAAATATGGCCTCTTGCAACAACCAAGGAACCTTTAGATAACTTCCACGTACCTTCTTTGAATCGGTTAAGATATCCTTGCTGATCCAGAGCTGTACCGGAGATAAGATTCAATCTAAGATCCGGAACATGTCGAACATCTTTCAACACAAGTGCGCATCCGACATTGGTTGTTATGTGCACATCACCAATGCCAACAATCTTCGAGAAACTGGTGTTTCCCATCTTCACAGCTCCAAAGTCCCCGGACTTATAAGATGTGAATAAATTCTGGTGTGGAGTGGCGTGAAATGATGCAGCTGTATCAATCACCCACTCATCATCATGAGTACCTACGTGTAAACATTCTTGTTCACCATGTGTAACAAGACACACGTCTGATGACAAACTAACCATGGTCTCACCATCATCTTGGCTAGTATTTTGACTCGTCTGTGGCTGCTCTCGTAGAAACTTTCTACAATCTCTTTTTCTGTGCCCATAATTACTACAGTAATTGCAATATCCTTCAAACCAAGTACTGTTTTCAAAGGACATACCTCTCTCTTGTGATCTGCCGCGAACTTGAGAATTTCCTCTGTTTTGACCTTGGCCTCTACCTCGACCTCGAGTTCTTCCTCCATTTCTGCCTCCCCCTCGTCTGCTGGTTTCTGACACGAAGGCATATGATTGTTCAGTCCCGGCTTCTTTTCTTCGGGCTTCTTCGTTCATAAGGGCATCTGTGACCATCTGCATAGTCACTTTGCCATTGGGAGCAGAATTGCTGAGAGTGACAACAAGAGTCTCCCAGCTGTCAGGTAGAGAGCTCAAGAGTAGTATCGCCTGTTCTTCATCTTTGAGAACCCATCCGGTGGTGCTCAACTGATTCACAAGATCCTGGAATTGACTGGTGTGTTCTGACACCGAAATACCTCCTCGTAATTTGTGGTTTACTAATCGCCTCATTAGTAAAGTCTTATTTCGTGCGGTTTTTGCTTGATACATGCTACCAAGCTTCTCCCATAGTGTGTAAGCACTTTGTTCTTGCGCAACATGGTGGAACACACTATGATCAATCCACTGTCGAATTTGTGCGACAGTTTTTCTATTCATTTTTGTCCATTCTTCATCCGTCTTTTTATCCGGTTTCACGCCATTATTATCAAGAGGATCAGCTAAATCCCTCAAATTTAGCAAATCCTCCATCCGAGGCTTCCACATATTGTAATTTGTGGAAGTGAGCGCAATCATGGTGTCCGATGATGATTTATCCATAATAAAACGCTCAAAATATCTCGTACCTTATTTTCGGAGCCGAATTTGGACAAACGGAGCTCACCGTTGGATCCGGAATGGCCGAAAATGGTAGGAACCGGTCTGACCTTGTCCAAAACCGGTCCGAAAATGGGTGAACCGGCCTCCACAAGTACGAACCGGTTCGGTCCGGTTCAGGCAGCAGCCCAGTGAGCAGACCAGCAGGCGGATGACGTGGCAACAGCTGGCTCTGCGCTGGCGCTGACGTGGCGCCACGTGTCACTGACGTGGCGCTGACGTGTCGCTGACGTGGCACCTAGAGATGGCTTGCACGGATGACGTGGCGGATGGCGTGGCGCTTACGTGGACTGACGTGGCGGCTGACGTGGCTCGTCTTCTTCCTCTGGACTGCGTGATGACGCAATGATGACGCAGGCAGTTTTCCGGCGCGTTTGGACGGCGCGTACGGCCTCTTCCGGTGGCCAAAAAATTCCCAAAAAATACCAGATTTCTCGTCTCGACGAGACGAATCTAACGGTATGATCAGATCGTGATTCCGAGCAACTTGAAAAATCACGATTTTCTAACCTGTAGAAATTTATCTGAAAATAAGAAAACAGTGTATGAAAACTCAACCTCTCTCTGATACCACTTGTTGGGATTGGAAAATTCTTCTATTCAATATCAAGAACAGAATTACAATAGGAGGAGCAAACTCTCACACTCAACTATTACAAAAAACCAATCCTCACCAATACACTTCTACTCTAAGTGTATTTCACTCTTCACACACTTTTCTCACTTTCTAAACTGATACTATGAACAACAATAGAACACTCTATTTATAGGCTACTTTGGAGACAAGAGGAAGTTGCATCCATGCTTCCATAGTTATCTCCATATCTTCTCCCATCTTTATTTGTTGGAGACCTCCTTCCAAGAAGGTGTGAGATGCCTCTTGGCAACTTCCAAGAAAGAAGGTGGAAGAATCCTACAATAGATACCCTATGGATAAAATTTGACCATTAGGTTTTTTGCTTAATGGGCGATATGCTATTTTAAAGTATGTGAGGAAGACACATAACTGGAAGTTGGAACTCAGCAATTGGCTATTTTAAGCTATAAATAGAAACACGTGTTTATTGAACACAAACACATCCAAACTCGTTGCCAATGCAAACTTAAAAACCGATATGCTTACATGGGGGCAACTGCATTTTATGATCCATTTGTTTCTTCCATTTTGAAAATTTTACACATCTTTTAAACCATTAATTTTGATGAAGTCTAGAGTGCCAAGAAACAAATAACGTGGCTTGAATCTTGATATATGAAATAAGGTGATATAACCATAAGTGAAAGAAGCCATCACAATAATCTTCAACCATTAAGGGGTGTTTAGAACTGATTTTGCTTCTGCTTCTTTTTTAAGGCAGAAGTAGAATCAGAATCAGTTTTCAAAAGCTAGTCTCCCCCAGCTTCTAATAAAACTGATTCTAGGAGTAAATTATAGCACCAAAATCACTTCTACACTATCACACAAACACTCCAACTTCTGCTTCTGCTCTCTGAAGGAGCAGAAACAGTTTTAAGAATCAGATCCAAACACCCCCTAAGTCAATGCATGCTATAACCAAAGAGGATGAAATCATTGGCCAAAGTTGAACCCGGAAGGCCGGAACCTCTTTCTCGTGACACCCTCTTCCTACCATTTGAGTTACGCCCCCACTTAGGCATGGACTCGGGCCGGGCGGCCCGCCCCGGAACCGGCCCGCCCCAGAACCGGCCCAGACCGGTCACTGTTTGAACCGGCCCGGCTCGGGAACCGGGCCATAGGGCGGTTCGGGTCGACCCGCCCCTCTAGTCATACAGTTCGGGCTCGGGCGTTAGGAATGGTGAACCGGCCCGGCCAGTTCGGGCCCAGTCCGGGCCAATTTTGTTTTTTTAATTTTTTTAAGTTTTTGGGTTGGGCTGGGTATTTTGGACCATTTGAGGTGGTTTGGGGGTGACGGGGGAGGGTTGGGACTTGGGAGTTAATTAAGAGAAGCCAAAAAAAAAATTAGATTGGACCGAGGCCCGGCCCGGCCCGAACCGGACCCGGGGGTTACCCGGGCCGGTTCCGGGCCTCCCATATCCTGAACCGTGAACCGGCCGGGCCCAGGCCCGAACCGGGCCCGAACCGGAACCGGTCCATGCTTACCCCCACTTCAATGCATGTTATAACATTTCTACTTTCAACTTTCAAGTGATTGGAAATACACCATAAACACATGCTATAATATTTCTATTTTGAAGCGGTAAAATGACTTTAGTAATTAGCAACTTTTCAATGTAAGACTTTTATACACACCAGTTTAGGATCAAGTTGATTTGTTGATACTTGATAACATTGATAATTTGACCAAAAATACATCAATTTATCGAATTAGAATCAATTCTATTGCTAAAGGCTTTAAAAGAATTCATTCGAAATCATGCATCGGTTATTTGGTTAGTTAACTCAATAATAGTAATAAGGTAAATATATAAACATAGGATGCTATTCATAAATCATAAGAATGAAATCGACATACATGAACGAAAGAGCAAAAAATGTGTGTGCATATAATAATATCATTAATCGAAATCGCATGATGCCTGCCCTTACATATCTTGATCTCAGCGCTAATAGCTTAAAAGGTTCCATTCCTGAATATTTTGGAAACAGCATGCCTGCGCTCACACACCTCGATCTGGGAGATAATTTATTTGACGGCTTCATTCCTGACACACTCGGTAATATGGTTAAGTTGACTTACCTTAACCTTCAAAGGAATAGGTTGGAAGGTCACATTCCTGAAGCCCTGGGGAATATGCCTGTCCTTGAAGAGCTTCAGCTTTGGGGTAATGATAAACTACAAGGAGAAATCCCAAAATCCATTTGGAACATATGCACTCTGCAAGTCTTGACTTTGAATTTCAACCGTCATAGTGGAACTCTATTCATATCCACATTATGTCCAAATCACCCTCTCCAGGAGTTAAGGTTAAGCGAGAACCGTTTTACGGGCCTATTTCCTGATCTTAACATGTTCCCCTCTTTGGCCACATTAGATTTGTCCAGCAACCTCCTAGGTGGGGTCATTTCTGAACATCACTTAGTTACTTTCTCCAAGCTACGCTACCTGGCCTTATCTTCAAACAATTTCACTTTCAATGTCTCATCTGCTTGGCGTCCTCCTTTCCAATTGCAATACATATACCTTAGGTCTTGCAACTTGGGCCCCAAATTCCCCAATTGGCTTAGAACTCAAGTCAACATTAGGGAGCTTGACATTTCCCATAACGCCATCTCCGAATCAATCCCCTCCTGGTTTTGGAATACAACAACTCACTTTGCGCTTTTTAATATTTCAAATAATGGACTCAAGGGAAGAATTGGAAATGGTGCTCAGGCATCAATCCAAGGTGGCGAACTAGATATCAGTTCGAATCAATTACAAGGTGTCATTCCACCCTCTTTCTTCAATGTGACAGCACTGCGCCTTTCTCGGAATAACTTCACTGACCTCAACTTCCTATGTGACATTAAGGCACATGCTGGTGTGAAGCTTTTGGATATCTCATTCAATCAACTTTCCGGAACACTTCCAGATTGCTGGTCAACAGTCTCTGATCTGCGATTTCTCAACTTGGGAAACAACCGCAATCTATCAGGGACTCTTCCAACATCCATCGGATCATTGGCTTCCCTACAGGCATTGCATCTTGAATATAACAATTTTACAGGCCCTCTACCTTCATCCATGAAAAACTGCTCCTCCTTGGTATCTTTAGTTCTTGGATACAACAACTTCTTTGGACCAATACCAGATTGGGTGGGTGAAAGTTTAACACAACTTTTTATACTTGTGCTAACATCCAACCACTTCAATGCAAGTTTACCAATGACCTTGTGCCATCTCCAGTCTCTTCAGCTGTTGGAACTATCCATGAACCAGATCTCAGGTACTCTTCCCAGCTGTCTTTCTAATCTCACTCAAATGATGACTGTAACAGAAGACGGTGGCGAAATGATTTATGCGTTATCATTTTCTTCAACTGTTTCAAATACTACATTGCACAAATTCACAACACAAGAGGAAAAGATAGATGTTACATGGAAAGGTATGGTCTATGAATTTGACCGTAATTTAGGATATCTAAATAGCATTGATCTGTCATCCAACATGTTGAGTGGTGAAATTCCAACTGAAATCACATCTCTTGTTGAGTTGGTCTCGTTGAACTTATCACGAAACAATCTAACAGGACAGATTCCTCTAAGCATTGGTAACTTGGCAAAATTAGATGCTCTTGATTTGTCTAGTAACCATTTGTCTGGTAGCATTCCTCAAAGCCTTGCCCTTATTCACGATATGGGGGTTCTCAATGTGTCAAATAACAACTTATCTGGAAGAATTCCCAAAGGCACACAACTTCAGAGCTTTAATGCAAGTTTATACATGGGAAATCCCGCGCTATGTGGAGATCCACTCCTCAATAACTGTGATGGAAAACAAACAACATATCCTTCTCCTCCTGGATCCTGTGAAGAAGAAGAACAAGAAGATGATAAGCTTTTTGGCAGCGAGTTCTATGCAAGCATGGTGGTCGGATATGGTGTTGGATTTTTGGGAGTTGTTGAGACGATGCTATTCAACAGGCCCTGTAGGTTTGCATTTTTCGAAGTCCTTAACAACTTTGCTAATTGGATTTATGTTGTGGTTGCAATACACAAGGCCAAGTTCCTGAGATCACTTGGTGGGTAACAGGCCAGTGTTAGTATCCGTCATCTTATATGCAACTTCTTTTACTATTGTTTTGTTTTCTGTTTTCCTTCATATTGGAAAGCTGATAAGAGTATCGCTTTCATGTTATTTCAATATATATGGTTGATTTTCCGAAATTTCCATTGCACCTTGATTTTATGTACTCTCTCTATGTCACATTTGCTATGTTTTATGTGAATTATTAACCCGGTGAGATTGTTTCCGTTTTGATACTGGTCACCGTTAGCTTAGTAGTTAGTAGAATTAAAGTAAAACTTTTGTGGCAGAGAGATTTACCTTTTGTGGTTAAAACTTTTTCGTTTCATTTGTAGTTATTTAACAGGTTATACTAGAGGCGGTGGTTAATATTTTTAAAACGAATATGAATTTTTTGCCCCTTTATCCTGAAACTCGAACAAGTAAATGTAGAGCTTAATGGTCATATTTGAAAGTGGGTTTTGGACTTTGTATATTTAGCATACTGTATTCTTTTTTTTTTGTGTTATCGTCTAAACCTATCATGATATGTATTCTAAGAGTGAGAAAATAGTGTTGCTTGTTACGGATTAAAGTGTAGTTCCATTCTTTTGCTTTCTTTTCTTTTTTGAGATGGCGTTTGTTTCATATTATGAGGTGGTTTTGCTGTTACTACTTAATCATAGTAGAAGTTACAAGACTAAACTTTTTATACAACATGATAGAATCCTAAGGGGTGATCTTAGATGAATAAAGTTTCTTCTTGAATGGATCATCCTTTGTTTCTTCTCATGGTGTTCTCCAGTTTGTGTTCCTATTTCTGATGATGTTTTTTATTTCTTTCAATTTTCAGGTTTAAAACTTTAGATAGTTGCAGGTAATGAGGAACAGTATGGGGAAAAAGAAATCACTCAGAGGAGTATTAAAACAGCTCATGATGCAGCAAATATGATTGATGAGGAGGATCTGATATATAATGCCAATAAAGTTTGATATTTATTTCCATTTTCTTAACCAGGTGTATTAAAGATATCATCTCCACGAGTCTTTTTGGCTGCTTAAGATATTGTGATCTGTTCAATTAAGAATAGTGGAAATTGTATATACTCCTTCAATATTCTGATAACTTTACTTTGTACTATTTTGTAAAGCTTTTAAGCTTAGATAGGATCTTGACTTGTCTACTACTAGTGTACTACAACCTGTCAACGCCCTCCAATTTCCATTTCCTATCGGCTTCCAGATGTTATGATGCCTCGTGTCATGGGAACATTAGCATTAGTACTGTAAGTATGTTAGTATGTGTTCTAGACTATATGTTCCATATTTTTAAGTAGTATGAACAAAATTTTGTTATCTGTTGAGTTTTCAGAACATTCTTTACCTCTACTTGATCACATTATTCATTCAAACAATGTTTACATTTTAGTCTTCCTTGGCTTTTCCTAATTCCACCGAATCACAAACGATGCCAAATATGGATTACCAATTTTGTGCTTAACAAGAACTTTGTCTCAGTTATCTTTTCATGGTGCAAGGCTGCAAGAGGGGGAAGGATGGAAGGAAAAATCTGCATGATATAACTATCTGATAGTATGTATTGAAGTAAGTTTTTAAGCTAGGGAAGTAGGGAGCTAGCTGCTATTGGAAATATATATATTTATGTTCAGCTGCTTTCTTAGGGAGTGTTTGCGATTGCTTCTGCTTTTTAAAAGTGATTTTTTTAAGAGATTATTGGAAAAGTGATTTTAAGTAAAAGTAGATAGTGTTTGGAAATAGAAGTGATTTTTATTAAAAGGTAAAAGTTGGAGTGTTTGATAAAAAAGTGATTTTTGATGTAATGTTTTATAAAAGTACGAATATGCCCTTTTGGATATGGTTTTCTTTCTTGTTTCATCAGCCACGTGTGTTTCTATAATTTCTTTGTGTTTTAAGGTGCCGTTTGGAGCCTAGAAAATAGGCTGATAAGCCTTAAAATGTAAAAAGAGAGCCAAACACATGTCATTTGGGCTGTTTGGACTGATTTTTCTTATCAGCCAAAAAAGTAACTAAAGGGTTACTTTTTCAGCTGAAATCTATTAATCCACCGTTCAAAACCAAAAATACTCCTCTGCCCTTGCCGTGATACATCTGCTTCAGAAGATGAAGACCACTTCTACATCGATGAATTCTCGCTCAAGCTTAGATGCTTTTTCAAAATATGACAATTAGGACTGCCATTGATACTGGGTGTGTTTGCAAGCTGGGGATGGAATTTGCTGAATCATGGGATTCTAAGAGTTTCACTTGCACCGATAGACAATCTCACCAGTCTGAAGTTCAATTTGCGTTAGAACCTGAAATACCTGCAATTTTAGGGATTATCCCAACACAACGCCTTCCTTTCCCTTCAAGCTCTTTTGATATGGCTCATTGCTCATGGCTCATTGCTCAAGATACCTAATTCCTTGGACTGAATTTGTAATTGACAGATGCCTAATCCTGATCTTGTTTTTGCTTAATCATGCCTTAAGTTTTTCGTATAAGCATGTGGAATTAGTGGTTGGTTAAATTCTTGCACAATCTTAGTTGTTGATGACGACATAAGCTTGGGTTAAATACTTGCACAATCATGCCTTTCGCAATTTATATGGTACACCCGGCTGTACCTTCCTCTTGGTACAGCCAGGTAATTTTGTAATAAACTGCAACTTCTATCCTCTTTATTTCTTCTTTTTCCCTTTGTTCGCTTTTTCCCTTTGGTCGTCGTCTCGCAGCTTTCATCTTCTTCCGCGGATTGCTTCTTAGTAGCAATGCCATAGATTTTGTTCTTCGATCGGTTCTTCCGGTCCTTCTTCTGTTTATTTGTTATCGATCTTCCCGGTTTTCTTCTGCAGCTTTCTCCATTCGTAGTTTCGATTTTACTTCACTGATCGATTTAGGTAAGTAGTTTTCTTTGCCGTTTCACATTTATATGTTTTTTCCTTCTTCCGTTTCAAATTCTTTTTTGTTTCGTCGAAGTTATCTTTTCCTGTAATCATCTTTATTTTTACTCAACTTATTTTTTGGTTGTATTGTTATACGTTGTCGCTACTGTTATAACTATTATAAGTTGTTTCAGTTCAATTTTTTTCTGTTTTAGATTCTTATCGACCATATGGCTGATTTTGGAGGTACTTATTCTATGAACTAATTCATTACATTAGTTGATATGTTTTGAGTATTTAGTTGATCAGTTTTGAGTTTACATTTGTTTTGTTTGTTTTGTTTTTACTCTGTGCAGATTGTATTTCTCCCCGTGGAAGATTAATTGAGGATATAGATTCTGGAGGCGGAATTGTTGGCATTCAATCCAGTAATATACTTTCTAATTGCAACTCATACATTTTGTTCTTCTTTAATCAATCTGTTTATATTTTGAATTTTGTTTTGTGATGTTCTTGTAATGTTTTTCCATTCATCTAGATTTCTTGGATTCTGCTGTTAATTTCAGTGAAGACCAAAATCTTGTTTGTGCAACAGAATCTCTTTCTTTCGGACCAAGTATTGCTCATTTCTTACGTACATTGTTTCCCTTTCTTTTACTGGAATTTTATATCTTTAGTTTATTTTACCTTTATTAATTTTTTGCAGCTGAACGTTCATCTAGTTTTGAGACTGTACAAGTTTGTCATGATCCTGTTTCTGTTGAAACCATATTAGTGAAGGAAGCTGAATTTTCTGAGTTGCTTGGTACAACTGTATTTTCAGAGGAAGAAGCATTTCAATTGTATAATGATTATGCTTTTCGGATTGGTTTTGGAGTTAGGTACTCTACTTTGAGAAAGAGGGATGGTGGTTCTGGCTTTAGGGGAAGGGAGTTCTGCTGCACTAAACAAGGCTTAAAAAAAAATAAAGGCGTTGATGGGAAGCAATTCACAAAAGTTGACATTCGTACTAATTGTAAGGCACGAATTTATTTTGAGATAAAATCTAGCGGTGAGTGGGTTGTTGTCAGACACCTTATGGACCATAATCATCAGTTTTGTCCAAACTCATTAGTTCATCACGTTAGATCTCATCGTTCTATTTCTTCTAATGAGTTAGATTACTTGCATCATTTGAAAAAACAAGGAGTCAAGATAGCTGATGGATTTCGATGTTTGCAAGCGGAAGCAGGTGGATCTCCTTCGGTTGGTTTTCTCTTGCGTGATGCATATAACGAATTGACAAAACAGGTCAAGAAATCTTTTGATGGTTCTGATGCCAATACCCTGATTAACATCTTTAAGAATAGGCAGTCAAATGAAGAAGATTTCTTCTTCTCTTTTGAGATAGATGTGGATGGTTCTTTAGTCAGTTTCTTTTGGAGAGATAAAAAAATGAAGGAAGATTATCTATCTTTTGGTGAGCTAGTTATTCATGATACGACCTATCGTACTAATAAATACGATATGATATGTGGACCGTTTGTAGGAATTAACCATCATACCCATACATGCATGTTTGGTTGTGGATTTCTTCTCAATGAAAGAATTGAATCTTTTGAATGGCTTTTCACTACTTTTCTGAATTCAATGGATTTTGTGCATCCGAAAACTATTATGACAGATCAGTCATCCGCCATGTCTGCTGCAATAGTTAAAGTCTTTCCTTCTTCAAGGCATCGTCTTTGTATATGGCACATAATTGAAAATTCTAAAAAACGTATACGAGATTTGAGGAATGACGAAGGCTTTTTGGCTTTATTTGATCATGTTTTGAAACTCTGTCAGACTGTTGCAGAGTTTGATCATTATTGGAATAGGTATTTTTCATTGTTCGTATACTTCCTTTTATGTTTTCTGCATTTACAGTATACCTTCTTGTTGAGCAAACTGCTTATCTGTAATGAGTAATAGTGTTTTTTAAATGAGTATTTTGCTTCATATTTTGCAGGATGGTTTGTGAATACAAATGTTCTGATAATCCTTGGTTGACCAAACTGTACGAGATGAGAGAGAAATGGTGTCCAGCTTTTTCAAAGCAGTTCTTTTCTGCTGGAATTTTGTCTTCACAACGAAGCGAGTCCACGAATAACTCAATATCTAGAAAACTGAATGCAAACTCGTGTCTTTGTGACTTCTACCATTTTTTTAGTGAAAGTGTGAGTCAATGGAGAAGTAATGAGGGTAAAGATCAGCAACGTTGTTGGGATGGTTTTCCGGAAATTGCCATTCCTTTTGTTGGTTTGTTACATAAAGCCTCCAAGGTCTACACGATTGATGCGTATAAACTGTTTGAGAAAGAATTTCTACGAGGTATGTCCCTGAAATATGAACTTAGACATCAACAAGGTTCTTTGATGTCATATTTGGTATGGATGCCTCAAATAGATATATTTTCACATTGGGTTTCTTTTGATATGACAACACATTTTGTTAAATGTTCATGTGAGAAATTCTCAGAAGTTGGTATTTTGTGTTGTCATATTCTTCGTATATATCATATTCACTGTGTAGAAGTTATACCGGATTGTTATGTTCTGAAACGTTGGACGCGTAGTGCAAAGTGTGTTCCAACTGAACAAATATATGCCTCATCTGGGACTTCTAATGTTTTACCTTCTGTTTGGAGAATGCAAATGCAAAAGAAATTTCACAAGCTTTTGTGCTCTAGTGATTCTAATTCTGCAGCAAGACATTTTTGTGAAGAATCTTTTACAAAGTTGAAAGTGGATGTTGAAGAGCAAGTTGGAAGTATTTACTTTTCAGATAGTGAATCTTCTACAGTTGGTTTGGGTTCAGCAATATCTAATCCAAAGTCTTCAAGGAAGAAGGGTGAAAGAAATGTCCGTCGCAAGAGTCTTATTGAAATCAAAACAAATCAAGCTAGAGCAAAGAAGAAGTCACGTCAAGCTAGTACATCTGAAACTGATCAAGCAAATTTGTAGTTTGATTTTCCAATAGCTATGTAGTAATACTGTTATATTCACTAGTTTACTAATGACTGGTGTCAGGTTTTTTTATTACTCAACATTTTTGTGTTCATGCTCAGACCGTAGCTGTATGTTAATCATTTAAAATTATGCTTTGGAATATTATAAATGTTCTCTGAAATATGAACCTTAAAGTCCAAGGCAGGAACAATTCAACTGCAGCTAGTACTTCGAATATTGAACCTTGAAATGTGTAAACATTCTTAAAAGCTTTGTTTTTTATTTACATACTTATTATATTATTCAAAAAAGAACATCTTTTATCTTTTATCATCATTTTAGTTTCAGTTATTTTCACTTTTAGACTTTACATTTTGTTCCTCTATGTTTTTGTTGTAGTTTTTACTTTTTTGTAATCATACATTCCTCTGATCTAATCTTCTTTTGAGTAATTGTTTGTGCTTCAATGAGTACCACGTGTTAACAAAATGAGTATAGAAGTAAATATAATTTTTTAGTTAATGCATTTTGAATGCAAGACTCACTAAATTATGTGTTTACTATTTCAAATTAAATATAATTTTTATAAGAAAATTTGTATAACGTAATTTCATACTTAATGTTCTAAAATTCAATTGATTAGTCTTCAAATTGTGTATACTAAGTAATTAAATGAGCATTTACGCTACTAATAATGAGTATTAATATAAACTTCATAAATACAGATGTCAGCAATCAATATTACAATCATCATGAATGTGTATAATTACTATTTCGCAATGAACACAAATATATACATATTTTTCCCAAAAAAACTTTAAATTATCTATTTCATTTCGTAGTGAAGACTCATACCATTATAAATACATTACGAATAATTGGAAAAAACACCCCCGCACTGTTTATTTAATGAATTAATACATTGTCTTACTTTCACACTCAAAGAATTTAAATTTAAAAGCTCACTCCTTAAAATTTTGTATAAGTAATAAATGAATTGAGAATAGTACTTACTAGTAATTATCATTAATACCTTAAAATGTGTATAAGTAAGCAAGGAAATGAGCATAGAACTTACTAATAATGATCAATAATATGAACTTCCCATAAGCATATGTCCTTATTTAATATTACTAACATGACTACTGTCATCCAAGCTTAATAGTAATATCATATGTCCCAAATACTAATATTGTTTAGCATGAATTAAAAAACAACAATATGTTCATCAACGCCCACAATCATCAATAGCATTACAAATCTTCTAGATATACACATTGTGTTTCTTCACTTGTTCCATGATGTTCTTCTTGATCTCATTCTTATCAGATGTTACTATTGCATGCAAGTACTTAATCCGTAGCATCTCAATTGGTTTTTCCTGTACAAACATTATAATTTAGATATTCAAGTTTTCACATAATTATTGTGTTTGAAAACTATATTAAACAACTTTGGACTTACACTTTGTTTATCTAATCCACACTCCCATGCTGTGTCACCATAAAATGTCTCCATGTGCCTCATCAAATAAACTCCCTCATTGGTTTTGTTTTTCTTGTTTCTCCAATGCATTTTAACCACTTCTTCCTTCAGCTTCACAACCTTATCTGCCTTTGGGTGTTTTTGATCTCGAAGAAATTTCACAAATCCACTTCTCTGTAGTTAAAAATTTCAAAAACAGAATTATACATATTCTTATGTTCATGCACATATTGTCTATGTAGTTGCTCAATTATCAAGTGCACATTACTCATATACTAAATCATCACATTATTTATCCATATGTGATAAAATAAAAAGAAATATATAAAACATTTACCAGGTATGACATTTGAAACAAGTACTTGACTGCAGGAGCTATATCTCCGTCGCTACTATCAATGATGTAGAACTTCATGCTCTTCAAGTCAAAGCACATCATATAGTAGCACCCATTGTATTCATCTGGGAATATGAATAGGTCTGTTGACCTCAACTTATTTCCATCTGCACAGGGAAATTCTTTGCCAATTTCTGCCGCAAACCTTTTGTTCCTTGTTTGTGGAGCGGTGAGATGATTTTGATCTAGCACATGCTGTCATTAAATATTATAATATATTAGTTTCATTTTAGTAATACTAAGTAAATGAATATGTACTTCTTACACATGGTCTTGTTGAGAAAATCATTCTGCTTTTAGCTTCAGGGCTTTTGAACTTTTCATTATGATTAAGCAACATTGCCCATATATCTATAATTCCAGCATCAACTTTTGTGTTGCTCTTCATTGTTTCCATCTGAGCTTTTGAAAGAGTGAAGTTGTAATGCTTGAACACCACAACACTGTTTGAAAAGAATTATTATATCAAAATGAGTAACCTTCAAATATTAAATGTGCATTATATTAAACGAAATGATTAAGAAAAACTTAGCGACTTACTTCTTGTCACAATGATCATTGAACACAAAACCTGCAAGTAGTCTTTCCTCACTGCCAAGTGTTGTCCTTGCATCTATACTTCTGTTCATGAATGGGGACTTCACAGCAGGTGCTGGGGCTGTTTCTCTTTTTTCTCTTTCCACTTTGTTCTCTTTTGGTTCAATGTGATATTGTTCAACTTGCTTACCCTTTCTAAACCTTCTGTCTCTTTCTTCTTCACATTCTTCCTTTTCAGATTCCTCTTCATCCTCATTAACATCCTCAGCATTGTCATTATCCTTATTCATTTGCTCACTTGGACCATCCTCTGCATGCTCAATTTCATTGCCATGTTGCTCAATTATGTCATGATGATGCTCATCATCATCCCCATATGTATTCGCCCCATCATTTGACTCCTGTGAAAGCAACTTGAAGCTTGGCTTTTCATACTGAGTAAAAGTTGGCCTCTCAACTCTTTTCTTCTGAGCCATTTCAATAGCTTCAACTGCTTTGAGCACTTCTTCAGTCCAGAATCCATCATCTGGAGTCAGTGACACTTCGGTTTCATTTTCTTTTTCTTTCTCCTTTTCTGATGAATATGTGTTGAAAAGCCCATGGACTTTTCCCATTAAAATCTTCATTGTCTCATCATCAGGTAACACCTTTGCAGCCTGTTGAAATTTTTCATCAAAATTGGCCATGCTTTCTGCCAAATTCTTCGCTGCTGCAGCAAACTCCTTCATAATATCCTGCAGTTATTTAATGATTAATTTAGAACAGTAATTGAGCATTCTTTATGTTATTATTGAGTTTATACTAAAATAATTGAATGAAGCATATATGTTTATTAGTTTAATTTATTCCCATATTTTTAACACATTTATTATCTTTTTTTTATTTAACTTCTTAAATGCACTCATTACTTTGTACTAAATACTCATATCTAGATATCATACTTATCATTTATATATTTACCCAATTGTTTCTGTTAAAATTACATAATACTGTCCTTACCTTCTTTGGCTCCTGATTATTGTTTCCCTCAATCTGGATTTCAGCTTCTTCTTCATTTGTGATCAGTTTTGGAACTATCAATTCCCCTTTGTTAGGTTCATCTATATATCCGTATCCAAAACCTCCAGTTTCAATTTCTTCCTTCTGTCGTTTGTTCAGCTTTTGTGTTGTCCAGCCAATAATAGATGGCAATGCTCTGTCCACTTTTCTGCCTTTGAACACAATGTTGTCTACATAGAACACCTACATATTTTATGAGATTTTAGAATTGTGTAGTGTATATGAGGATATGAGTAATATTGTGGTAAAAATGAGCAATAACATTAAGAATTTGTAACTTACAATCAGAAATAATAAAGGCCCTGGGAACTGTCTTTCTCTATTTTTGCTCCAATAGTCCTTTGCTTCAATTAATGTTTCCAAAGTGTATCCACACCAATTCAGATCCTTGATTTTTGAATCATCCTGCAATGCCTTCAGAATGCTTTGATTGGCAAAGCAATTTTGCTTCCCTTCAATCAAACACGTTACCAGGAGAACCAAAAAATTCTTTTTAAACCATACTCCACCTGCTTTGTTTTCTTCTATAACCTTCTTCACTTGAGCAGTCTTCACAACTCCATTTTCAGTCTGAAATTGTGATCTCCAATTAGCCACCATGTGTGATGTATTCTCAGATTCAGTGTCAATCAAATTCTTCACATTAATCTTTCCTTTTGGAAACCCCAATGTCACGTGCACTCCATCTTCATTAATCCTCAACCTTTCATTGTTTGGCAGAAGAAGAGACACACTTCTGCTGTCAAAATTGTCCAGCAACCAATATGCCAACTGCATTGGCAATTGCTTCACTTCAAGGTTCAGTAAAGGGCCAAATCCCATCTCAACCACCTCTTTCTTCTGTTCTGCACTTAGATTTTTCATTATTTCTGTTATACTACTCGGAGACATTCTTGTCCACAGCTTTGGGTATTTTGCATTCTCTTCCTTCTCTATCTCCTCTTCGTCCTCCTCAAATTCTTCCTCTTCTTCTGCTTTCTTCTTCTTTATCTTCTGCTTCTTCTCTTTTATTGACTCTGCTTCCCTTGTTATTTTCTTCTTTGCATGAACTTCTTTCTTCTTTTTCTGAACTTCATCATTTTTCTTTTCAGTTGCTTCTGAAGTTGTTGATCTTGTAGTTCTTCTTTTTGGACTAACTTCCTTGCTCTCTTTCTCTTTGCTTGAATTTCCTTGTTCTGTACTTTTCTTAATTGAGCCTGCATTATTTCTCTTTCTTTTCTTCTCATTATTTCTCTGTGCAGCTCCTTGTTGTACTTCTATAACAATCTGATTTTGTTCAATTTCCCTACCTTGTTGCTCATTTTCCCTTCCCTGTTGCTCAGATTCTTCTCCAACCTCCTCAATTGTCTTACTGCTAGTATTCCTTGTTTCTTCAACATTATCATGTTGCTCAGTTTCAATACCTTGCTGCTCAGGTTCACTCCCTCGGTGCTCAGATTCTTCTACAACATTCTCAGTCATCTTACTGCCACCTTTGCTTGTTTCTTCAACATTCTGATGCTCCTCAGTTTCCCTCTCTTGGTGCTCAGTTTCTTTACCTTGGTGCTCAGTATCCCTCCCTTGTTTCTCAGATTGTTCTCCAACATGCTCAGTCTTCTTAGTGCTATCCTTCCTTACTTCTGCAACCCTTGTTTCTTCATCACTCATCTTTATCTCAGCTTCAATTTGTTTTATTAAGTCCATATTAGCCTTTTCCTTTTTTGGAATTGCTTTTGGTTTCATCTTCTTCTGCTTTTGTGGAACCTTGGAAGTCTTTTTTACTCTCTTTTTTGGATTTGAGCGCAGCACTGGGATCTCACTTATAGGTCGTGGATCTAAAATCCTGTATTATTAATTAAAATGAGTAATATATATCAAATCATGAGCACACAAAATATTATTTTGTAACTCTATTCAATCACAGGCATATTCTATACAAACTATATTTATATGTAAATGTAGTTTATGACAAGCATATTCTAAGACAAATTTTTCATAGCTTTTTAAGAAAACATAACACCATATGGTTATTTGAAAGTACTAATCAACTTATGAGTATTAGTTCACTTTTAAATTAACATTATGAATAACTAACATATTATCACCAGTTTTCAGTACTATAAAATTGTGACACACTGTTTTACAATTTGAGCATCTTACACTCACATTATGAGCACACACACAATGTCCATGCAAACGAATTACAGAACAAGTATATTGTATAACAAAAAATCTACTGCACTTCATGACACATTGTTCATGAAACAATGTCTATTTGTTCATTTGATACAGTGTTCAAATAATGAGTATGACTTCAATTTTAATGTCACATTATGATTAATTAGCATAAACACATATGAATCATAAGGATATTATTCAACAAGTACAGAAAATTTAAAGCACATACCACTCCATTCATAGATGAGTACTGTATACCACAGATTGAGTATTTTATCATCTTAGAAGTAACCTAATTACAGTATCACCATGTTCTAACTATTTAGTAATGCATATGACCTAAAGTAGAGTAAAATGAGCAATAACCTTCGTATTTTGAACAAAACCTCAAATGATATACTTAATAAACACATATCATGCATCAAATTCATAATCTGCTTCAGATTTGTCAAAATCATTTCATTTTTTCTATAATTTTCGAAACATGCAAGTATATTGATGAATCATTACTTGAATACAAATTTCAACACTATAATATTACATACCTCTCTGATCCTTCTGCAGTTTCATGCTTATCTGCGTTCTTCATCATCTCATACTCGGATAGTAGGTCCATCACTCGCTTCAATGCTCAAACAGAAACAACTTGCTGCTCAAACTCTTCCTCTGTTCTTCACTTGTCGTTGCTCTGCAACTCTACGAACAACTCCGCGAAGTTGACAATCGTCTGGAGGCTGTCATCGTTTTTCGAGCTTTAATACGGCGTGTATGAATGCTTGCGTCGTTTTCAAAGAAATTTCAGAAGGTAGTTCGAGAGAAGTTACTTTTCCGTTTTTTGATATGTTTAAATCGCAGGCTCTGTTTTTTGGTTATCGATATTACCCGGTAAAAATTGGGGCCAGGTGTGTTATGGGCTAGATCTGTTAATGGGCTTTTATGTTAATTGGACCACGGATGTACATACAACCGGGTGTAGCATATAGGGTCTCTCATGCCTTTGGTTCTAATTTTCATCCCCAGTGGATGTTTCAGTTTGGGAAATGTTCAAGGTCTGGACTGCTGCTTTGAACGACATAAACAAAAAGTAAACAAATACCCTTAATCGTAATTTTACATTCAATCAGCCATTCCAGCCAATGTATTACCAAACACTTTCACTTAAGCAGATTCAGTCTTTTCAGACTTTTCAGTCCTTCCAGCCGTTCCAGCTGATTCCAAACAGGCCCTAAATCAAAAAATTATCCCTGCTTTTGATTCATGGAAGCATCAAGAGTACAATTAAAGAGTCCGACCTTCAATTCTTTCACCGGTAAAAGCAAACAAAGACCGATACCTCAAATCCATCTCCAAAAGAGAGAAAATACCCAATTCATCAATAAAACAAAATAAGAACGAAAAATCAAGTAAATTAAACCATACACGTCAGGGCTCTAATCATCATCGCCTTGGAATTTTTTGGGCTTTTGATAGTTCTCCTTCACCTGCTTGGCGACGAAGACGTTGGTTGATAGAACTTGTGGTTGTGGTCTAAAATGGCGGAGCAAGAAGCAGAGAAATTAAAGTTGGCGACGAAAACAAGGAGGGCATTTTGGATCTGGCCGAAAATGTGTGTCATAATAATCTTCCCTCAAATTCATTTTAATTACAAGAATACCTAAAAGCAGTTAGAAGTTAGTATATATCAGCTTCTCACTTTTGACTTTAAAGTGCTTTTTTAATTAGAAGCAGGGTTTGACAAACACTTCTTTCAGCTTTTTTTTAGCTAGAAGCTGAGAAGTGCTTAAATTAAGCATTAGCAAACACTCCTTTACTACTTTGTGGTTCCAACATAACCTCTAATTTTACCACCTTATTCCAAATATCATACTATCGTAGCTCTTAGTAAAATATCATTCAAAAAAATGCACTCTGAATATTGACAATTCCATTCACCCAGCCACATAAACCTTACCATTAATGTCTTTATTATGATCACAAAACCTCCACCATTATTATTTCACTAAGCGTGGGAACCAACCGCTACAACACCATCAAATTAATATACTGCACAACTTTTAAATTGAGAAGATACTTATCATTACAAAGAATGATAATGACCCCTCTCTTTCTCTTTAACGCATAACTAGTATAATAGATAGTTGTGCTATACACGAGATATTAAAATTTACCATTTTTGTTCGGGAAAAGGGACAAATAAGCCCTCAAACTAATCAAAAAAGTGCAAATAAGCCCTTTTGTAGGAGGTTCCGTCCGACCATCGTCATTTGGGGAGGTTTCCGGTGGAATTTTTTGATGAAATTTTTTGAGCATCTTATTCATTAAGTCTAGTTTAGTCATACCGAATTTCAGCTAAAAATTCAATCGGGAAGACAGTCAAATGAATTTTTGAAGATAACTGCGCAGTTAAACAACGCAGTATATTTCCGAAAATCATTTGAGTGCCTTCCCGGTTGAATTTTTAACTGAAATTTGGTATGGCTAAACTAGACTTAATGAAGAAGATGCTCAAAAAAATTTATCAAAAAATTCCACCGAGAACCTCCCTAAATGACGATGATCGGACAGAATCGCCTACAAAAGAGCTTATTTGCACTTTTTTTTATTAGTTCGAGGACTTATTTGCCCCTTTTCCCTTTTTGTTCTATAAAAGTTAATGTAAATAAAAGATCTCTATAAAAAAATAAAAAAAGGAATCAAGAAAATATAATACTCTCTTTGTCTATACTTTCAAAATTTATTTTTGTACTTTTGGAGAAGTTTGTTAACTTTGAGCCATATTTATTTTTAAACATCACTATTAAATGATGAGTATGAGAAAGTATTTGTTAATATTACTCCCCCCTCCTCTCGTTAAAATTATCCCAACTTTTCTTTTTGGTCCGCCCAACTATGATTGTCGCATACCAACTTTTGTAAACTTAATGTGGTTCCAAATGTTTCTTACTTTCTTCTTACTTTATCAATTCAATGTCAATCACATAAACTCACTTTTCTTAATAACCTCAACTACTTCTCGTGTCCAAATGTTAGTGGGACAGATGTAATAAATAAATAAATAAATAAATAAATAAATAAATAAATAAATAAATAAATAAATAAATAAATAAATAAATAAATAAATAAATAAATAAATAAATAAATAAATAAATAAATAAATAAATACTTCTTATAATTATTTAGGAAGATATAAATTGAGCTTTGAGATTTTAGAGGTAATATATTCTTATGTTAGTCCCTTTGACTGTTTTTAATCTTGATCCTTCACTTTTTATTAGTTATTCTGAGTTAAATTTTTTCTCTCCATTTTATTGAATAAGATATGTAGATTTTTTTCCAGTTTATGAATCAGTCCTGAATTCTTCTTTACACTTCCATTTTTCCTTTTAATAATTATTTTGATATACTTTTTAGTTTTACAATTGAATATTATATCTTGCTATTTCATTTCTCTTCTGTCAGAAATTTATTTTTCAATATGGATAAAATTTTATACGTAGTAGTTCATATGGTTTCTTTTTGAGAGAATTCGCTAAATAGAAGTAAAAACGTTTTGAAATTCTAAAAATAGGAGTATCATGTCTTTTATAAAAAGTTATTTTAACACCA